TTTTACTTTCGTCTGCGTAGGGGGTTGATTTCGCCGCGAATAAATTCCGCAAGCTAGAAATCACTCCCTCCCATTCTCGCACTTAAACCGACTGATGGCGCTATAATCGAAGATCCGAAACGTTAAAGCGCGGTAGTCGTCGCGCTGCACATGTGCGAGATATATGGGTCTCATATAAACAAAGATGGCGACTTTGATTGTTGCGCAGATCAACGAGTACGAACTAAGACGTTTCCAAGCTTTAATTAAGTAATTTCATGTTATTGGAAGGCATCGAAGGAGTCACCGGCGGTAATCAGTGCAAGTCGCGCCCAGGTCAAACCTCATACTAGTGATTTCCATTTGAAGAGCGCATTGGATTGTGGGATGGTACATGCGCAGCGCGACGACCACCGCGCTTTAATAATGTCAGTCATATATACCTTATTGTTTTTGATATTTTTTAAATCTCTAATTTAAATATGTTCTACTTGTGATAGAGATTCGAAAAATTAACAATTGGTGGCCAAGACTCTCGGAGTACAAAACAAAAATAATTTTAGGGCTGGCCGCTACGAGCGAAGGCGAACTTTAAGCGAATACAAGTCCACCAAGTAATTCTCCATTTCACACACGTGATTAAATACCACAGCTTGCGATTGCGTCTTTCTCACAAAGGCTCACGCGCATGTTGCCTTGGACGATTCTATACTGATGATTTTCCAATTATATTCACTCAAATTCATTCCCTCGCTTATCTTTAAGTTAACTTATGTCTTCCAGATTCTTACACAATATTCGCCACAGAGCGTCATTGACACGTTTTCTCCAAGGGTTCCATTTCGTAATCTGTTGTTGAACAGTTTATCACATGTGCTGATAAATCTGTTTACGTGTCTTTGCGAGACATTTCAAACTAGGAATCACACGTATATATCGCAAACATCCGCTTTCGAGAGAATAAATGAGAATATGGACAACTTATGAAAAAGAAATATAGTCCATCCGTGCTTACATCATATATATATAGGCACATGCATACACACATTTGCACAACATTTATTGAGGGGAGGGGGAGAGGGTCGAGGAATTAAAAATGAAACATTTTCCCGCCAAATCGTTATGTCATAGATATATATTTGGTTGACTTTTCGATTGATTTTAACATGACTAGCTGTGAGTGAGAACAAAACAAGATGGCGGAGTTGATGTCGTACTATAACATAATATCACATGGGCGAGTTACAATATTGTACGTGCGACGCCCTGGGGCTATTCCGGTAATTATAGAAGACAGAGAAAATACAATAATAACTAACTAAAGTACATTGATTTTCATCTGTGTTTTGTGGTTGAGATAATTCAATACCACAACCCATTAATAAGTCGTTTATGTATAAATACAAAATAAATGAGAGTGTCGGGTTACGGTGTAGTTCTCCAACTTCATTAACGAGGACGATCGATATTGATGCCGTTATTCCAATATGTTGACACGTGCGCGATATTATTAGAGAAGCTTTGTTAATAAAATATTGTGA